AACAACAACAACAACAACAACCATTAATTAAGCAATGAGGAAAGTTATAATTTTTCTTCCCTTTTAAATTGCGCTATACCTTTCTTAAACAGTCAATAACAAACATAGAAGCGTTTCTTAACAAAGTATTTTCTCTATTTAATATGAGACTCCCTAACATGAGAAAAAAGAACAGAGCATTAACGGATCAATCCTTTCACAATGAGAAAGATGCCTACTGCCTCATCAACATTGCCACAAAGAATTTTAACTGACCTTTCCAGTTTTCTTGTTAAGTTTTAAAAACTGCAATCAGGCAATAATGTATTAGTTATAAATGTTGTTGTTACGTGCTGTTGAATTGGTCCCTACCCATAGTGACCCTGTATAGGGTTTCTAAGGAGTGGCTGGTAAGCTAGAATTGCCGACCTTGCTGTTCAAACCAACTTTGCAGTCCAGGGCATTAACCCACAGTGCCACAACAAAATTCAACAATTTAAGTAAAACAGACTTCACAGAAAACTAATCAGAATGTGCTTAAACCGGAACATAAACCACACTATTTCCAAATGTCCTTATTTTCTGAATTTAGTGGCTCTATTTTACTGAAGTATTTTTCACACCAAAACCATATCAAACCCATGAAGAACATATATACTAAGTAATCTCTCTCCTATGTGCCAGCTACATGGTGTCAAGGCATACAAGGCAGCCTACTGCAAGGCTGGCGGTTCAAACTCAGCGGCTGCTCCTCGGAAACCCTATACAGGGTCGCTATGAGTTGGAACCGATTCGACAGCCCTCAAAAGCAACAGTTCCACATGCTACAGGGACTTTAAGAAATAATGGAGTAAAATAAAGAATGTGCCACAGTCTCACAGCATGAGAAAGAGTTTTGCTTACTGCACAGCCACGGAGCAGCTGGAGCACTGACATCCTCGGCTTTCATAGTAACTGTGAAAACCTAGGCAAGAAAATTCTATGAAGTATCTCTATGACTCTGATAAAAAACAAAACAAAAACGTACTAAAAAATGAAAATGACCCCTTTCTCCACCAAGATGTAGTGAGATGTAGTTCATTTCTGTCTTTAATGTGCTTTGTTTGGAACCTGTGACTTCAAGTCTTTGTCTTTTTGTTTTATAACTACCATTAGTAACTGCTTCTTTTTTTTTTTTTAATAAGTTTTTATTGTGAACTGAGTGATAGTTTACATGGGAGAACATCGGTTTTACACTCATCGTTTCATTGCAATGATTACAATCTTCTGCATGCATCATCATTCAACAGTATTTCTTTCTAGTTCCTCTGTTTTTCTTTTTTGGAATGTACACAAAAACACTTAGGAATATATAATAATTTAAACAACCAAAAGGCACATTCTGCAAGCCTGCCTCCTGGCCACCAGTACATAGCCTTCCTCTTTTCATGAGTCTAGAATCCTCAGCTGCCCTATCTCTCCTTGTCCTCATCTCTCCCTCCATCTCTGGTGTCGCTGCTTCTCTGGATAGGGTCCCACATTCCACTCATGCTGTTCTCTCTTGATGGTCCTAGGTTCCTTGGTTCCTGGACTGTAAGATTAACTACTCTCCCCTTTTTGTTACAAAACTTCTACTTTTAGTTTGATAGTTATAATTAGTCATAATAACAATTATTCACTATTGAATCATAAGAATCTTATTCCCATCTCCTTTCACCAGACCTGTCTAGACAAAATGAAACTATTCAGTGGGGATTTTACCTTCCCCCGCACACTCTGACATTAAAGTCCCTCTTGAAAATTTGTAAGCCAGTCACTTCGTGCCTTTATAACCCCCCCCGACCCCCAATTTTAGGTAGCCAATGTGTCTAAGTTGCCTGTCCCTATCAAGGATTGATACTTGTTGTGAAGACTCCTTCCCTCCCAGTTGGTATTTTGAGCTACTATATCCATAAGTATAGGTCAAGCTCATCAAATTGTAGCAATTTACACTTGTTTCCTTTATCAAATTTTTTTTTATCTTCCTCTAGTCAAGATCTGATCATCAAGCCATCGAGCCTAGGCCGAATGGGTACTATATACAAGTTTGGGTGTTCTTGTGTGTCTCCCCTCACTTCATATCAACTGGATGCTTCACTCTCAGCTCTAACCCTCTGTGGCTTTGTCCTTGTCCATGGGCTCAGGAGTCCCCAGGTCTCACTACACTTCAGACCAACCAGCCCTTCTTCTTCTTTCTCTCATCTCCAGGTCGACAGGAGTCTATGGAATATGGTTGAACTCAGCCCATATTCTTGTTGCTATGTTTCTCCATCTTCCACTCAATAGCATACCAATGTGTTCGCCAGCAAGCTCATGCGTTCCTTTTGAGTTTCAGTCTTGGATCGGGGATTGTCGTGAAGGGACTTGATTGTTTGCCTTGATGGCTTCCTGGCAAACAACTGGCAAACAACTTGCTCATTCTGGTAGTAGTCAATTAGACTGCCATTTTCGTTTTGGATTTTTCCTGCTGGTCTTTCTTTCAGGAAGTATCTTCTGTTTCTCTAGCTGTTTCAGGCAGGTCTGCTTGTCCTTTCAAGTGGGACTGTCCTACCTCAGAAGGTTCTGGATGGGGCTCAGGATTACTCCTAAGGTCCTATACACTACAAAGGTTCTGCAAGAAGCTTATTTCACTAAATAAGTTCTCGAACCCCTTTTAGGTACTGGCAACTATTTCTTGTCTATCAGACATTGCTTTCTACAAAGAGAGAGGATAATTTCCAATGTTTCTTGCTATTGTTTGTTGTTAAGTGCTGTTGAGTTCTAACTCATAGTGACCCTGTATAGGGTTTCTGAGGCTGCAAATCTTTGTGGGAGCAGAAAGCCTCGTCTTTCTCCCATGGAGCAGCTGGTGAACTTGAACTACCAACTTTGTAGTTCAAAGTCCAGTGCTTATCCTAAAGAGCTACCACACTCTCCATTTATCATTGGGATTCCAGTGAAATGTATTGTTGAAAGCAGGCGTTCAGCACTGGCTGCTCTCCAGCAGTGCTCAGGGCAGTGTGGTATCTCTTCTCAGTGTTGAGCACAGTGCTACCGTACCTCGATGTTATATAAAATCCAAAGTACAGATGATGCTAGTAAGTTAACTTTCCCCCTTATTGTCATAAAACTCCCTTATCAATACTGAGAGAAGGGTGCTAGAATTAAGTTCACGTTGAAGAATCTGATGCTTCAAGAATTCTTTCTTTTAATAGACATAATTCCACATTGTTAACTATTTATACATAGCTTAAAAACAAATAACTATAGATTTTTTTAAAGTATTCTCACAAAAGCTTACTGTCTGAACAGAAGGATATATTTTCTGAAAATTTAAATAGTATACTCTCGTGAGAAAACTTTTTAAAAAAGCACTAGCTGATCACCTATATGATTTTCTACTTTAGCAATCAATCGGCAGAGCAGTAAGTATAACGCATCTCCTTACCTCAGGAGCAAACATGGTCTCATAGGTAGGATTGTACTGAACTTCTTTGACAGCAGGGTCAAGGTGAACTCCGGTCTCCAAATCTTCCTAAAAGAAAACCAAAGAAACATGAAGAATACGACAGTGATATGCTATTTTTGAAGCCACATTAAAGTCATACCAATCATTTCAAATGTAAATCTTATTGTGATTAGTCTTCTTTGTATCATATAGCTAATAATTCTAACAAAGATTAATAAAACCAAACCAAATCAAACTAAACCAGCTGTTACAGAGTGGACTCCAGCTCATGGTAACCCGTGTGTTGCCGGGTAGAACTGGGCTCCATACGGGTTTCAAGGCTGTGACTATGCAGAAGCATACTGCCAAACCTTTCTTCCAAGGTACCTCTGGAGGATTCAAACTACCAGCCTTTCAGTAATATATGGACTTTGGAGGTTAAAATGCATGACTTTTTTTACCCTTTTCAAAGTACTGAATACATTTTTAAATTCTAAATTAACTAACATACTCAAAGTCTCCATTGAACAGATTTCAATTTTCGTTTTTCATTTCGACTCAAAGACTTGGTCCTCTGGATCTTAGTTCAGAAGATGCATTTCCTTTTAATCAGCAAATTTTATTAGCGTTGTACCCATACTGCACTTGGTTAAGGACTGCAGAGGAAACAAAAGCACGTGGCAGGGTATCGAGCCTGAATTCTGGCTCACAGCAACTCTGTGTAGTCTCCGAGGTCATAAACCTTTACAGGAGCCGAAACCCTCAACTTTCCACAATGGAGCAGTTGGTGGATTTGAACTGTTGACCTTGTGTTTAGCAGTCCAGTGCTATGTAACCAACCCTGTATCAATGCTTCAATCTTAACAATCTTGTTCCATAGCATCAAACACAAACATCATTTCCTCTGACTCCACATTCATCCCCCAGCTCAATGAACATAAAAATCTCATTTTATCTGCTAGACATAGCCTTAGCCTGGATCTCTCCCCTGAACTCTGAACACCTTTCCCCTAGGATGCCTAACAGACATCTCAAACTATGTCCCAAAGAAAACTGGTCACTTCTTCCTCAATGACTCCTTCCTGTTACTTGAAACTCCACCCTTAAAGATGTTTAGGCCAAAATCCTTGGAGTTATCCGGCCCTTTCTTTCATACTCTTATCTCCAATCCATCAGCAAACCGATCAGCTCTACCTTCTATATCCAGGAGTCAATCATTTCTACTTGTACTTTCATGATCAACTCCATCCAAGTTACCATCTCACACCTGGATGGTTACAATAGCCTTTTACCTGGTCCCCTAGCTGCTGCCTTTACCTACCGTGAAGCTGATGACAGTAATGTTGGAGAATGCCAATAACAAATGAAGGTATGGTAGAGTTAGACTAGTGAATGACTGAAGTCTAGAAGACTGACAAGAAAAAGTAAATCAAGATGCACAGTTATTGTTCCAAAATTTTACCACTCTCAAAACACCTCTAAGGAGCCCTGGTAATACAATGGTTAAGTGTTTGGCTGCTAACTAATAGCTTGATGGTTTGACCCCATCCCATGGCTCTGTGGGAGAAAGGTCTAGCTATCTATCTGCTCCCAGAAAGATTACAGAAAACCCTATGGGACAGTTCTAGTCTGTCACCCTGTGGGATTGCTATGAGAGGAAAATCACCAACACACTTTACCATAACCTTTTCACCACTAGCAGCTTCTCTGCTTCTCAAAGATACAGACTCCATCAGGCATGGCTTCTTTCAACTTTTCTCTGTCTAGTTTCTTTACCACTGCTCTTCTCACCCTTCTCAGGACTCCAATCACATTCTAAATTTTTATCTGATTTAGATAAACACTGATCACCCCTCCTGGCCTCTGGATCCATATATTCCACTGCCTCATGACCATAATTAATTATATGGATGTTCCATAGCATCAAATACAAACATCATTTCCCCTGACTCCACATTCACCACCAATCAAGCAACAAGTCTCTCTTATCCTACCTCTGAAATATTTCTCCAACAACTCTTCTTCCACTCTCCCTTCTGTAGACCCCTACTACCACTGTCCTACCTAAAGGCTGGTCTAATAGGATGTTTCTCTCAGTCAGTATGATCGAGGCGCCTGCCCTTCCACTTTACCCAGAGTAGACCAAGTATTGATTTGTTAAAATATCAAGCACTTGTATGCTTTCTGTGACTTTGGCAATGCTGTGGCAATGCTACATTCCTTTTGTTTCTTATTAATTTCTCCTGTTATATGATAAATGTCATCTTTGTTCCCTTTCCTCCTCCTGACTCAGGAAAACCATTTTTTTCATCCATACTCTTAAAGAATATAATTTCTTGCAGACCTTGTCATACTATATTTTTTTCACATGACTTATTTACATCTTCATTACCTAGTAGAGTATAGGCCACTCACTACACACTCATTAAATATTTGCTAAAGTAAATCTTAAAGGAAAAAGGCAAATCCAAAGAGAAATTAAAAAGAATGAATGCTCAACAAAGGTCATTACATTTGGCAATGAAGTGACAAACACACAAAAAATAAACTTTTGCCAGAGCAAAGTGGTAGCATGGTAGAGGATAGAAAGCCAGTTGAGGGACAAAGATATACTCGAATTTAGAAAAACAGGCAGTAATTATCTTGACGCTTTCAAGATATTTGGGAGCAAGGAACAACAGATATGGGGTGTTAGACTAAAGAGGTTCCCAAGGGTAAAACTAAGCTTTACTTTCTTTTAACTCCCCTTAAGAAAAGACTAAGTCAAAGATCTAGCCAATCACAGGCTGGAGGAGAGAAGCCCCCTAGCCAGTCCAGTGGTGAAAGATGTGGCATTCTGCTTCTGATGCCTTGGAGACCCTGTGAAGCAATTCCACTCTGTGCTATAGGGTCAATCTGAGTAGACATGGACTCAACATCCACAGGTGTTGGATATATGGTTATCTTGGAAGAGGTGGGAAAGGATAAAGTCAGTACATATTTGGGAAATCAGTCTCTGAGAAGAGATTTCTAAGATGAGGTAGAGATGGCAAAGAATGGGTAATGAATGGGTGAGAGGTATTTGGAAAGAGTGAGAGATGATGAGAGTTACAGTTCATCTTTTTTGTGTGTGTGTAGTAGGGAACACAGGCATCTGTGAAATACACTCAGATTCACTTATGCACTCAACAAATAAGAAGGGGTTTCGAAAACTTGTGGGAAAAAATCAGAATAAAAGTTACTGGACTTGCCCCCCACGAGCTTTTTGAAGCCCTCTCTCTGGTAGTGGCTGAATGCCTACTACATGCAAAGCACTCTTCTAGGCCTAGAGCTTATATTCTAGTAGGAGAGACAAGACGCAGACCCACGTATATAAGTAAATGATAAAGACTGCTAGAAAGGATTGCCTGTGGTGTCAATTCCAATTCTTGGTGACATCATGTATGTCAAAATAGAACTGTGCTCTATAAAGGTTTCAATGGCTGATTTTTCTGTAGATTGCGAGACCTTTCCCCTGTGGTGCCTCTCTAGGCAGACTTGAACTGTCAATCTTTTGGTTAGCGGCCAATCAAGAATACAACCATGTGTTATGAAAAATGGTATTTAATAATGCTAATGTTCAGCACCTGGAGTCCTGGTGAGGTGCTGTAGCATAATGACTGGACTGGTAACCACAAAGTTGGCAGTTCAAACCCACCAGCCACTCCTCAGAAACCGTATACTGGAACAGACTTGATGGTACTTAATTATCCCAATGTTCAGCACCAGCATAGACAAGTTATCTCATATAATCTTTGTGATATTTCTGTGAGGTGTTAGAAAGTTTAAATTTCTTTCTAGGTTACTAGTAGAATCAATGAGAAGGGGAAGAGTGTAAAATGACAGCAACAAACAATGGTAACAGGACCCAACTAACAGCAAACAATCAAAAATCATTGGCAGAGTAACTAGGTGCATGAGCCAGCGTTCTTGCAAGCAACAAGAAATCCTCATACACAGATTAAGCAGAATGAGTATTAAATCCTTGGTTTCTCATAGAACTGCCAGAAGGCTGAAGAATCAGGTTGGAAAATGAGAAGATAAAGGATGAGTCACAACTCAAAATCAACAGTATCACAGATCCAATCAGTCAGAACAGGCACTGCGGGCTAACGTGCCGGAATGCTAGGTCGGTTTGAACCATACGGTCGGCATTTCAAGCTCACTAGCCGCTCCTCGGAAACCCTATAAAGAGTTGCTATGTGTCAGAACCGACTCGACGGCACTTAACAGCAGCAACAAACAATTGCCATTGAATGCCGCTCTTGGAATTACTGGCCCAAGAATAGACCTGCTTTCCAAATGCTGGCCACCTTTGCTTCCATGGCCACTGTTACTTAGGAATATTCTTTTTCTTACTTCTTTGTGCATTAATTTCAGAACAGAAAGCTTGGGTGGGTACATCTGTTTAGTGAAGTCCAAGTTATCTTCCTGAGCCTTAGCTTCTGGGAGCTGGAAGAACGGGGATCTGGGTTTATCAGCAAATAAAGACAGGGTGCAGGGAGAGGTATTCACCACATTCAAACTCTTAAGGACATTCAAATGCTATACTGCTCCCGAAAATGACATATATCTATCATCTTAGAATACATGCTAGAGTCTTTTACTTTTGATAGATATTATCTCATAGGGCCCAGCAGTAAAATTCAGTACCACAAAGTCTGCTGCTGTAGGCTCAGCACTGGAGTGCAAATCACAAGGTCTGCAGTTCAAACCCACCAGCTGCTCCCTGGAATGACACTTAGCAACAACACAAGTAAAACTCAATGCCATAAAGGTAAAAGGTTGCAGATCACCTAGGGTCTCCTCACTTGCCAACTATATAAAAAAGGAATTAAATGCTTTTTTCTTTCTTAATAATCAGCTCCTAATGGTGGTGAGATGGACTGATACAATGACTGCAACAATGGGCACAAACCTAACAACTGGGAGGGAGGTGAAGGACCTGGAAGTGACTCAGTCTATTGTACAGAGGGTCATGATGAGCTGGAATTGAATCCATGGCACCTAACCATAACAGTGATGGCACAGCAGGTTAAGCCTTAGTCTACTAACCTATAGGTTGGCAG